CCCTACACTGATATAAAATTTTCAAAAACATATCATTCAAGTACATTTTTCCCTTATATTATTTTAAATTAGATTCAAATTCAAAGGAGCAAGCAAATACTTAGATTCTCAAAATTAATTTGTAACCTAACATAAGGTTAAATACGCCTCCGTACACCGGAGTGCAGTGCAGCTGTGAAAAACAATGCTGTAGAAGAAAAACTATTTAATGACACAGGAAAACATTAATTAATGAAGGCAGGGTACTAAACTCTAGAGAGTCTGATCCTAAGTTTGAAAAAGAAACACTCTGCCCCCACAATACTGGAAGGCAGCTGGCAAGGGGTCACATTGACTTTCTCTGGATGATGGGACTGGGGTGGGCAGAGCAGAGTCTGCAATCAGACTGCCTAGGTTCAAACTCTAGTTCTGCTGCTTACTAATTGGGTTACTAGCTCACCTTAGTAACTATGGTTACCACCCTGGGAAATCTGCTGAATCTGTTTTCTCACAGTTCAAAGGGGGATCCTAATAGTATCTACCTCACAGGGTTTTTGTGAGAGTTAAATGTGAAAGTAGATGTTTGTATTTATTATTTTTACAAGTACTTTTCTGTTTTTCCCCAAAATTTTCTTCTATGGGTATATGTTACCTTTAAATTCAGGGGAAAAAATGTAAGGAATAATTCTTATCAGGGTGATAAGCCCTGTCCAGTATTGTTCATAGCACACAGTTTACTTAATAAATACTTTGCATAAGCAAATAGTGATCAGTATAGTACTCTGTGGCACCAGTTCCCACAGCCTGCTGACATTCTTGGTTAAGGTGGGGACCTGCCTGAACAAGGAGGTACTGCCCCACCCCTGGAGCAGTGAAAGTGAGGGACTGAAGGACACAGGGAGCTTTCCAGTGGCCTCCTGGGCCTCTGTGTCCGCAACAGAGAGCGCTGGCTCTCAGTCCAAAGATGAGACACAGCTTTGTTTTCGCTCTCACAGCCTCTCTCTCAGGTACCAGTTCAGTAGACAGACAATCAGAAGCCATGAAGAATCCTTTCAGTTTTCTCTTTGTTGGGCTGACTTCTCTTTTCTGAAAAAAGAACGAAGACTCCAGCCCCTGCTAGGAAATGCTTTTGTGTTTTCTTATCTCAATAAAGAAGATTTAAAAGCGTGGCAATATCCACTGGTGGCAAAGGTAAAATAAAAGAGGTGCTATCATGTGTCACCTGTGAGAGGGTCATTCAGCACAGCTCTTTGTAGAAAGCAATTTGGTAATGTGTATCAAGAGCCTTAAAAAAAGTTCCTCCCTGTTAATTCAGTGATTCCATTCCTGGGAAGCTAGCCAAAGAAAATAATCATGCATACAAAAAAAAATACTTATGTATATTATACCATGATGAATAAATTTATTTTAACTGTTATATTTAACTACTGTGGACTAGTTAACTACATTGTGGACCATGCATTTGATAGAATAAAATGCAGTCATGAAATGAGATTTCTTAAGAATACCTAACAGAAGAAGAAACCATTTATGATAGGATTATTATAGACTATGAAATGAAAAAACAAAACAATACAAAACTGCGCGTAGACCACACACGTAGACTACAAATGCATGACTTTATATGCCTGTAAAGAAAAGAACACAATTAAGCAAAAAATAATTTTACTGGTTATGGCATTAAACGTGGTTTTGTAAAATCTACCTTTTTATATGTTCCACATTTCTTTTAATATATATGTCATACATTTTCAGTGGAAAAAGTAAAAGAAGCTTCTCTCCGGGGCCCTTGCACGGGGCAGAGCAGACACTCACCTGAACAGAGCCTTGAGGTTTTCTGGCAGCTCTGTGCGGCCGGCGTAGCCTGGGTTCATGGTGATGAAGATGCCCACAGAAGGGTTCAGGCTAATCTCCTCTCCAAGGAAGTTGAACCGCTGCTTCTTATCTCGAATTGCATCTTGAATGCTTTTTACCTGGTGAACAAGTCATCGGAAAATGCTACCTCCTCTGCATACCAGAGGCGGAGTGGTAGCTAAGGCTGGGACCCTGTGGTCACACAACACAAACACTTGCTCTTGGCCCCCCGTCAGGGAAGGACAGGACTGGCGACTGCGCCCTGGGCTCTTTACCGATGGGCACTGGGTGCATGTCCAAAAGAAATCTGGCCACCCGTATCCCCATATCCACGCTTATCATATGGTGCCTAAGAGGTTGGGGGTGAACAGCAAACAACTCTGACCACCAGTCCTCTCCACACTGACCGCTGTCTTGAGCATTGTTCTGTATTATGTCATGTGATCCTCACCAGGATGCTCGGGGGCTCTTTAGTACCATCATCCCAAGAGGTGGAGTAGTTTGCTGAGCCCTACACAACTGCTAAGTGCTGGCGTCTGCATCTGAATCCAGGCACGTGGATTCTGGAACCTGGGCTCTTAGCTGCTACATGATGGAGAGAATGCTAGGACCTACCCCCTAGGCTTGTTCTAGGAGTAAATGAAATAAAGTCCGCAAGGAGTTTAGCACACAGAAAACGCTCAATAATAGCAGCTAACATGGGAACTCTTGATGTGACTGCCGCCATCACTGCAGTGTGTCCTCATCTGGATCTAACCCTCTCGGCTACTCCTCTGTCTACATCTCTGGAACAAACCTGGAAAACACAGGCGACTCCGGCAGGGATGGAGCGTATGGTGAGGGGGGGGGGACAAAGCAAAGGGAGGCTGGGCCAGATCCCCAGGGGCTATTCGTGCCTTTCTAAAGAGATTAGACTTTTCCTTAAATATGGTCTGGAACCGGAGGGGATTTAAGAAGCTGAAGGTTGACCTAGTTAGATCTAGATTCTAGATCATACTTATAGCAGTGGAAGGAGAGACAGAAATGAACATCTGGTGCTTTGGAAAAGCGTGTGTGATAATGATCAGCAACAGAAGGAGGGAAGACAAAAGGGGCTCACTTGTCCAGCCAGGCCTGGAATGTCTCTGAGGATTTCTAGCCTCTTAGGGCTCTTGAGAGCAAAGCCGGGAAGCTGGGGCCGGGGCAAAGGTTTGAATGAGGCTCGTGCATATCAGCTGTGATCAGGGTATTTAGAATAGTCAGGGGTTCCGTGGAGTTGGGCTGCAGGGATGTGTGTGTGTGTGTGTGTGTGTGTGTGTGTGTGTGTGTGTGTGTGTGTGTGTGTGTGTGTGAGACAGAGACAGAAAGACAGAGAGAGAGAGAGACAGAGAGAGAAGCACGGAGAAAAACAGCTGGAGTGTATATAAGAGAGAAGGAGACAGGAACAGTTGGATCTTAAACAACAGAGAGACAGAGAGCCAGCTGGACCACGTACCAGAGAGAGACAGAGACAGAGAGACAGAGAAGGAGAGGGAGGGAGAGAGACAGAGCTGGACCGTAAACAAAAGAGACAGACAGACAGATAGAGACAGAAAGAATTAAAGCTGGAACACTTATAAAAGAGAGAGACAGAGACAGAGAGACAGCTGGACCAGAGAGACAGACACACAGACAGACAGAGACAGAGACAGAGAGAAGGAGAGAGAGAGGAAGAGAGCCTGAAGGCAGCTGGGCCATCCACCACGGGCAAGGCTCTCTCCAGTGCCTGGAAGGGCGGTATCTGCCAGAACACCTGGCGGGTCCACAGTTGGGATTCAGCTGCTTTCCCAAGTGAAGCTCTGATGACAGAATGCATCTGAGCTCACAGTAGTTAGCTGGAGGCTGAAACTCCACGCACAGCATGTCAGTGTGTCCTGGCAGAGGCAGCCTCCAGCACCCAGCACGCTGGCCAAACAGCTTGGGCTCTGTTGGTTCCCGTGGCACTCGTAGCACTGCTGGGCCATGGGGCCTCTCGCCACCCTCATCACCCCGCGAGGCCTGCGAGTGGGGAAGGCTGGGGTCTCTCCTTCCGCCCCGGTCCTGCCACCTGTAAAATACACAGAGCTCCCCCCGTGTGGCGGAGTAGGGAAGGGACTTTCATTACTACTTGCAAATGGCTCTGACACCTTTGGGCTAAGGCCAGAGCCCGGGACCCTTTCTGCTATTCGCTCTGACCCAGCACTCTCTCCTGCACCCCGAGGCCCAGACACCTCATGCTCAGTGAGAATCTGTGAGGCACTGTAGGACTTGCAGCATCTGTGCTTTTGTGTAAAATTCTGCGGGGGCTCTTGAGGGAGAGTGTTGGACAGACTCAAGGAGGCAGTTAAGGCTGGAGCCTCACTGCTGAGAGCAGCCTCTGATGGCCAGGCTCACGCAGGACAGGAGGCCATCTGGCTGGCATTTCCTTGCTGCCTTAGAAGCAGCCGAGGTCCACAGAACAAGCCACTGGACTGTAACAGTGCCCAGGGTCCAGGGGGCCTGGTAAAGTCCGGAGGTCCTTCAGGAGGCGGTGGGGTGGGGGGGGGGTAGAAGCAGGTGAACCGGGATCATACGGATTAAACTGCAGCCCAGCCAGGTGGAGGTGCACACACAGGTAGGTACGGACTGTATCTAAGGTGCGAGGTACACTCCTCACTTGTGGGGGTCCGTTTCCCCACTAAAGACTCATCACTTTTGCCATGGGGAACAATAACGAAATAATAACTGCCATTTACTGAGCACTTGATATGTATCAGGCGCTTTTCTGAGAATTTTATATGAATTAACCCATTCAGTCCTTTCAACAGCTGTATGAGATGGGTGGATCCTCATTTCATAGGTGGGGAAACTGAGGCTGAAGGCAGTGAAGACTGTGCTACAGTCCTGGAAGATGCAGGCATTAGGGGAGGCATGAGGGAACTCTATACTATTTTGCAACTTTTCTGTAATTGGTTTTCTATGACTTCCTACAATTCTAAAATAAATTCAAAATAAAAAGTTAAAAGAAAAATGAAACTTGCCGGATGCCTAACAGTTGGTAAGTGGGGCAACCTGAGTTAAAATCAGGCAGTCTGGGGCCAAAGCATATACTTTTAGTCACTTCCCCACACGGCCTTCTACCAGTAGGAACACTGCCAGCCACACACAGCTCCTCATCTAATATATACCATTTCGGAGAAATTTGTTTTGCTGTGAAAATAATGATGTTTGTTACAATTTAGAGACATAGGTTTCCATGAAATAAAAAAGGTGCTTTCTCCACCCATTAAGAAAACAAGCAAAAATGGAGAGCTGTGTAGAAACCAGTGTCCTCTACTGGGGGTGATTTTGCACCTGCCCTCCCCAGGGGACATTTGGCCACATATGGAGACATGTTTGTTGTCACAACTAGCGGGGAGGTTGCTGCTTGCATCTAGTGGGTAGAGGCCAGGGATGTAGCTAAACATCCTGAAACGCACAAGACAGATCCTTGCAACAAAGAATTTTCAGGCCCAAGACAGCCTTAGTGCCTAAGCTGAGAAAACCATGATCTGGACCAAACATTTTACCAATGAGGAAACTGAGGCCAAGAAGATATAAGTGACTTGTCCACCATTCCACACCTTGTGTCCCTGGGTCCTACCAAATTCGCATGCACATTCTTGGCCCCAGCCCGGACTGATCAAATCAGAAATTCTGGAAGTGTGGTCCAACAAAGCATCTTTTAACAAGCCCTCCGGGTGATTCTGATGCATGCTGAAGTCCAAGAACCACTGCAGTCCAGTCAGTTCTTAGATTTCTACTCATACTTGCTTCTGCCCAGGTGTCTCCATTCACACCTGCAGACTGACCCCCCTCCACCTCTCTAGGAGGCTGAGTCCTCCGATCCTTCTGCCCCACCTGCCATGGAGAGGACATGTCCCTGCAGCCCACTCACCTGGACCAGCCAGGCTTGATCCTGTGGGTCTTGGTGTGAACCCAAGCTCCACGGTCCTCAAGCATTTTCTCTTTACTTCACAGTCTCCCTCTCAGCTCTGGTTCTCAATGTTTGCTGAACATGAGAACCATGCAGGAAGGTTTTTTTTTGAACTTTGATGCCTAGGTCCTGCCCCAGACCAATGAAATCAAAATCTTTGGGGTGGAGACTGTGCATTTGTGCACTGCTATTTTTCAGAATCGCCAGGCAATTCTAACGTGCAACCAGGGTGGAGAATACTGCACCCAGGGCAGCTTGTCTCCAACTTCATGGTGCCTATGAACCACTGGGGGTCTTGTGAAAGTGCAGATTCTGTTACAGCAGGTCTGTGGTGGGTTTGAGAGTCTGCGTTTCTAATAGGTGCCCAGGGGATGCTGATGCTGCTGGTCCGCCGCTGGAACAGCACAGGGCTAGCTGCCACCACCCCACCCGGCACCCTCCACTGTCCATTCTCAGGAGTGGCCTTGCCCCGGGACCACAGTGCCCCATTCCAATTCATGAGCCTCCACTGCCTCTTGACTGGATGGGCTCGCTTTCTTTCAGTTTCTACAGGCTTTAACTGCACCTCTTGAATGGAACTTCCTTCCTGCCTTATATTTTAGATGGGTGTGTAGGTCTTACTTCTCTATATTGCAGCCCAGCTCTGATATCAAATGATCAGTCCTGCTATCTACACAAGCCACGTGTGCTTGTCTGACCACAGTGGCTTGACTGGATATCTTAAGAATGACACCTTTCCCTCCAAAGACTGGAAGTTGGTGATCACAGGCGGTTCTGCCCCTATACCCTCCCACCCAGGCAGGGCCTTGCATCAGACACACTGCTGAAGTAACAAAGTCATCCCATCTTACCCGCAGGTGATAAATTTTAAGGAGGTCATCGGCTAGCCCTAGGCTATGCTCCTCCTCTCCGCTTTTTCTCCACACCCCTCTACGTCGCCCCCCTACATTCTAGGGAAGTGGCCCATTCCTTCTGTGGTCCCCTGGGGTCATTCTCTTCTCCAGCCTTTGCCCTCAAATGCCATGCATTATTAAAATCCTGCCTGGCTCACTCCATGCTTCTCTCTGCAGTGGCAGATTGGAGTCTGCTGCCTTCAGGCAGTACAAACCACTCATCACTTTTTACATTTAAAAAAATATTTCTGTTTTTACCTTAGACCTTAAACTCCTATATAAACGGTGTTACATGGGAGTTCCCTTGGCTCTGAGATGCTAGCATTTGTTCAGCTCCTTGAGTACTTGGAACACTGCTATGATGGGCTCCTGAGTCCCTGCTAGCTGCTCTGCTGCTTCTAGCCACTTGCTGCCCCAGCCCAGCCCACTGCCAGGGCTCGTAACTGTGGAAGGGATAAAGTGGCAGGGATGCCTGACCAGGCAGCGTGGAGGGGGACCAGGGGCTGGAGGTACAGAGTAGTGGCACATGTCCCCTGGCCCAGATAACCCAAGGCCTAGGGAGCTGATTGCAATAGTAGTGGCAAAATTCCCCAAAATAGTATGCAGCAACTTACACGTTTTAAAAATAACAGAGTAATTGTTCTTGGAATTGCCACAGTTTTCTCAACTGGATATGCAATTCTGCTTGACCAACCTGACAGAGACATGAAAATTTCCACCTCCAAGAATACCGAGGCATATGCTCACTTTTGTAGAAGTCGCTGGGAAGAGGGGCACAGACATGTGAGGAGAGGCAGGAGGGGAGAGGTAGGGTGGGTAGAACTCTCACAGCTGCTGCAGCTTCTGCACCAATGTGCCAGTCTGGATTGCAGCGTGGACAGTTAGTGCAACCTTCTCCTTGGATGGGTCTATGATTTTAAATGGTACTAGCTCAGATTTTGCCCAGGTTGTTGTCAGACCACTTTCTTGAGAATGTTTCCTATGATGTATTCCTAGACGAGAGTGTGGAATCATCAGGGAATTCGATTGAATTTAATTCAGTTAATTTCAGAAGCAAAAGGGAATTAATCTTGAACTCATCACTGACCTTGTGTTTGGCAGTTTCAAAATACCGTAAGGCAAATTCACAGCATCTGTCTACTATGCACTGGGGACAGTGGCTGTTGGGCACTGCCTCATCGGTTAGGACACTGTTAAGTTTGTTAAGATAGCCAGAGCCTGGCCGGCTGAGAAGGAGTGAACAGTGCAGGGGAGACTGCTGAGACCAGGGAGTAGACCCTTCTTCCCTGTCCTGTGTTCCAGCCTTCTACTTTTCTTCAACCCATTTCCTGCAGGGTTCAGGTAATAATGATAGTAATCATGAACATCACCACCCCCCCCCCACCATCATCATCATTGTGGTCATCACCATCATCATCATCACCACCACCACCATTACCACCATCACCATGGTCATCACCATCATCATCATTATCACCATCACCACCACCATCAACATCACCACCACCATCACTATCACCATCGTAACAGAGACTAACATTTATTGCCTATTATGTGTAGGGCTTCATTTTAAGTGCTTTACATATGTTAACTCACTTAATAATTACTACAGCTGCATCTAGTAGGTATTAGTATTATTAACTCCCTTTACAAATGTGGAACTTGAGACATGGACTTGCCCAAGGTCACACAGCTAGTAAAGTGGCAGAACCAGAACTGAACACTGGCAGTGTGGTTTCAGAGCTTACACACATAACCACTTCTCCCCTGCCTTGTCTGGCTAACTCCACTCTACAAGAACCTGCTCTTTTAAAAGCCCAATTCCATGTGGAACTTGTTTATACCTCTGGAGCCCACGAAGAGGTCTCTGCTGACCTTGTTGTGGCTCCCACCTTTTGCTCTTCCCCTGGGCTCCTTGTGGGGACACATGGAGACAGCCCGTCAGCAACCCCAGGCACTGAGTGCTGCATCGGGACACCACAGGTGTGACTATTCATGATGAATGGTCCTGGGTTTAAGTGAGGCAGTGACAGCAGCACAGCCTAGCTGATGAGAACAAGAAGTGCTCTCCAGAAGCTGTGGCAAGCAGCCAGGAAAGGGGTCAGAAAATCATAAAAGCAAAGATGAAAGAGGTGGACATAAAGATGGGTAGAAATAATTATGGGTTATCGATCCCAATAGACACTGTGGCAAGAAGCTTATGCTTCTCTCTTGATTTTCAGAACCGTTCCAGACCTAGAATTAGTACTTCAAGAAAAGTTCATTTTCTTTTACTCTACATCTTTTTTTTTTTGCGGTACGCGGGCCTCTCACTGTTGTGGCTTCTCCCGTTGCGGAGCACAGGCTCCGGACGCGCAGGCTCAGCAGCCATGGCTCACGGGCCCAGCCGCTCCGCGGCATGTGGGATCTTCCCAGACCGGGGCACGAACCCATGTCCCCTGCATCGGCAGGCGGACTCTCAACCACTGCGCCACCAGGGAAGCCCTACTCTACATCTTATATCACAAAACTCAAACAGTCTTTACAGAAGCATCATTCCTGGTTCCAAGTTGTGAGGTGACTACTTGGAGGTGAATGCAGTCAGTGGACGTGTTTTGTTTGTTCAGCTCAGGTTCTGTTTTTAATTAAATAAATTGCCAACTTTTAGAAATCTAGAGATTTTTAATAAAAATCTGGACTCTCAGCTTCTCCTTAAAATGTAAAATATCTGGCAACACCGGCCTCATATTCTCACGAGGCAGAGGTGTGCTGGTAAACGTGTAACAACCAGCTCTCCAGGGAAAAAAAATTGCCCCTGTAGGATTTGCCCATTTCCGTGGTAGCCAGTTTCAGGCTGCCAATGTGACAGCACAGTCAGCTCTTGTGAACCAAGCCAGTCAAGGGTTTTCAGCTGAGAGAGTGCTCAGGCAGCTCTGTGACTTACTTCTACCTACTCCTACTGAATCAAACAACCCTAAGGAAAGGGAAGACCCCGTATCACCCCTGGGAACAAGAGAAGAACCTACATTTCTGCAACTTTCAGGAACTTCACCAAGAAACAATGCAGACAAACATCAGCAAGTTGGTACAAAGCAGACTTTCAGCAAAGGTTTGTTCACTTTTTTCTACCCCGCCCCCCCCCGCTTCCTGCTGTTCCCACTGTCTATGGGATCCTTACCCAAATCCAAATCCTCTCCATCTTTTCAAGGCCTGGCTTCAAGATAACAGAAATCAAATCACATCTAGAACATTGAAGAGTGTCTCAAGAACTCAAGATTTTTGAAGTTAGGAATAGTGTCCTATTCAACTGGGGACCCTTCACACTGGCCTTGAGCACAGCACTGACTATGCTGTAGGTGTTTAGTAAGCGCTTCCCGGATGACCTGAAAGACAAGTGCCATGCTTAGGGGAAATCTAACCAAAAACTGATTTTCTTCATCCAATAACACTCATGCTGCCCCCTCACTTTGTACATAATTAGGTGAGCGAGGCTGAGGGAGGTGGGGTGCCTGGCTAGGATGCTCAGAGAGGAAACGGATGAACTGAATTTCAAGTCCTGGTCTGACAACTTCCCAAGTCTGTGCCTCTTCTAAGGAGCTGGGCTCTGCCATCTTTTTGGATCTTTTCCTACCCCTGTGAAGCAGGTGCATGGATGTTCTTTCTTCCTGTTTTACAGAGGAGGAAATGGAAAATCATGGCCAGTAAATGGATCCATCTTGGTAGGGACCAGCACAATACCCATATCCTGCACCCAGGCCTGATTTTAGCAGGTAGAAGAAAGGGCAGGAAATGCAACAGGGGAAAGGGTAGAGGCAAGTGGATGAGAAGAGGGTAAAAGCAAGAGGATATACAAGTCCTCAGTGCTTGGCATGAAGACCACAGCGCTCCCATCAAGTTCTGGCCCCCATACCTGCACAGCCACCACTGACAAGACCTCCACGGAGATTCGATTAAACTCATCAAAACAGCCCCAGGCACCAGTCTGAGCAAGGCCTTTGTAGATGTTGCCGCAAGCCTGCAACAAAATGTACAAAGATTAAATTACTAACTGCTGGGCTTACTGTTACCCATCTAAGTAATTTTCCATCCCCTTTATTGCAGAACTTCCAGTTCCCTAAAGACCACTGGTTAGAAACTCGTATTACAATTTCAAGGACAATTAAAATTTTGATGGCTTCGGGTGCCAACATAAGTCATGGGATCAAACAGAACCTTTTCAAGACACTTCGACCAAAATCCCTTTAAAATGTCATCAGGCTTTTATCGATTCTGTAGCTTTCAAAATCCCAGGAAACGAATAAAATATTATATTTCTTGCATCATACAGACAAAAATCCTTCCACTCAGCCTTCAGCATGTGCTGATGAAAAAGTTTATGTCTGTCTCTTTGAATTCATGCAAAATACCCAGGTTTCCCAGAGTGATGGGAAGCTGGAGATGGGGGTGGGAAGGGATAACCTCTTTTGGAAATAAACTACAGGTAAATCTTTTAAAATGAGAGGAATAAGGGAATAATTTCAGATGGAAGATGGTATATCTGTCCTAAAAATGAAAACCACTCTGGCCATTCAATGTGAACTGGTAAACCATGGAGCCATATAAAGGGAGAGACGACTGGGAGACACTCAAGGCCATAGGCAAGGAAACATCACTGATGTGCTCAGAACATGCAAATAGTCGAAAAGTCCATTCATTTACTCAGTGGGCATTTTTTGACTATCTGCTCCATGCATAGCTCATGTGCTAGACCCAGAGAGGCTCAGTTCCTCTAAGAGCTTCTAGTTAGGTTGTGGAGATAAGGCATACAAATAAAACAGGTAAATTGCTACATGAGCAGTGGTTCCAATGGATAATATAGATCACAAATGTTATGCAGTTCAGAGAGGGGTGGGTCAAAGTGTTCTAGAAGGATCAGTTTTGCCAAAGAAGTGAATTTCACATAGTACTACAACAGCACTTTCCAAAGTTTATTTCATGGAATGCCAAAGCTGGGAGATGCTCCTTGAAGACAAGACTCTCTGGTAAATCAAGTTTGGAAAACATTGCTTTCTATAACCCACTTTGGTCAATTTACAATGTATAAGGGCATTTTAAGGGCCCTGAGAAGTCAGACAAAATTAAATTAGTTCAACTTTGTTATATGGCTAGGATTTTTTTTTTCTCATGTGACCCCTGATTTTCTCAGAACGCATTCTGGCAAACATTAGTGAAGTGGAAGGAACACAAGAACAGAACCAGAAGATCTGGAGTATTGATATCTCACAGAAGTACATGGTATCTTCAGAACATACATTGGAATCATGGCTTAATAAGATAACAGTGTCTGTGCAGGCATAGCAGAAGGAAAAGGGCTTTCCAGGAGGAGGAAGGATTATGGACAAAGGATGAGCAAAGTCATGCTATGTACAGAGAAAAACAAAGGTGTCATTTTGGCATGAAAGTTGATTTAATAAAGAGGGCCATGGTTCTGAAAAGGCTTGAAATATTATAAGAGATCTTTGGAGGTTTGGAGCAGAGAAAAACAAGATTAAATCGGTATTTTAGGAGACCCAGTCTAACAACACATAACCTAGGTTAGATGCGGGGCAGACTTTGAAAACAGAGGGAAGAATCAACCCCACCTTTTACTAAGCTCCTTGAATTAACTGATTTCCCTATTCATGCAACAAATCTACTCTGAGCCTGTGCTATGTGCTAGGGGTTGTCCTAGGTCATGAGGATTCATCCCTGAACAAGGGAGAATTGACCCGATCCTCAGGGTTTTGGATCCTAACGGGGAAAACAGACAATGAACACTAAACTATCAGTAGTGATAAGTTCCAATGAAGTCTTAACATGAGGGTAATGTGGCTATTTATTTATTCATTCTGTTTTATTGAGATGTAATGGACATGTAGCTATTTCAGATTGAGAAGTCACAGTCTCTCTGAGGAGGTGACATAAGTTCTAGGCATTGTGTTTGTGTGCTCAAAAAAATTCTGCAGGTGGATATTGCTAGTATTATATTCATGAATGTGTGTGTGTGTATACATATGCATATATACACGTATATATAATAAAACGTAATATATATTTTATATTTCATTTATATGACATACTTATATTCCCGAACTTCTGCTTAGTATTTGTGACATTTGACAGGTTGCCACACACACACACACACACACACACACACACACACACACACACGTAAAATAATAAAACAACCTGTCTGGGGCTTCCCTGGTGGCGCAGTGGTTGAGAGTCCGCCTGCTGATGCAGGGGACACGGGTTCGTGCCCCGGTCCGGGAGGATCCCACATGTCGCGGAGCGGCTGGGCCCGTGAGCCATGGCCGCTGGGCCTGTGCGTCTGGAGCCTGTGCTCCGCAATGGGAGAGGCCACAGCAGTGAGAGGCCCACGTACCAGAAAAGGAAAAAAAACCAAAAAACTAAAAAACAAACCTGTCAACTATCACATACACACACATTACATATATGTATATCACATACACACATTATATATATATATTGCCATCTGTCAAAGGTTATAAACACTAAGTCAGAATTTTGAGAATCAAAACCCATGCTTCTCCAGCTAACAGTGGTTTTAAAACTTTTTAAAGCTGTGGATACCTTTCATCAAATGGAAATCCAATACATAAAACAGAAGAAAGTAGAGTTTCCATAGCGGGATAATCGTCACCCAACACTTTACCCCCAAGGGCCTGAGCAGAACCCAGGACTCCACGTGGCCCCGTTTTTTGACAGGAAACAATTAAGATGTCACCACAACAGCACAATGTTACCATTAGCTGGGCTGGGCTGGGCTGTTGCCTTGCCATAAGACGGTGAATTTCTGGGACAGGATAAGGGCTCTCAGAATAAGGTTGAAGGCCTGGAAGCGAGAGCCTTGCTGAAGGAAGAATAAACATTGCTGAATGATTGGAATGACGGAAGGAAGGACAGGAAACAATTAAGATGTCTTAAGATGTCCACCCTGGCCTACGGGGAAAAATAAGATGATTAGTACTGATGGCATGAGGAACCTGGCCGGAAGGAAACAGGGAGTCAGCAGG